AGAGAGAGAGAGAGCTCTATATATATATATTTTTTTTTTTTTATTTATTTAGATATATAGATTTTTATATATATATTTTTTTTTTTTTTTTTTTTTTTTTATATATTTTTTTTTTTTTTTTTTTTTTTTTTTTTTTTTTTTTAAATAAATACAAAAATATATATATATATATATATATATATATATATATATATATATATATATATATATATATATATATATATATATATATATATATATATATATAGCAGATTTTCATTATATTATATTATAATCTTATTATTATGTGAAATTCGGAAATATTAGAAATTGGCAAAATAAAAAAAAAACATATAAAAACCTTGTAATCACAAATGACTACAAACCAAATATAAATCTAATAAACTTGCTAATAAACTGTAAACATTAAAAAAAAAACATTACAACAATCAGTTGTGACAAATTCCGAAATCATGATTATCAGTGTGTGTGTGTGTGTATATATAAATATATATAAAATATCTATATAATGATAATAAGTAATAATGTTAATAATGATATAGTCATATCACATAAGATCAGTAATAATGATAATAAAAATAATAAGTAATAAGTAATAACTGTATTTTTTCACATATTTAATTTTTTTTACAAAAAAAATCTAATTTTTATATTTCTAATATAAGCATAATTTGCAGACAGAATTAAATGTTAATGTTAAAAAAAGACATTGTTAATGAATTAATATTAATATTATGTTGTAATTTGTCTTACAAGTCATTTTTTTCTTGTGTGCTGGAAAAAACCTTCATCAATGAATAAAGTGTCAGTTTTTGGGTCGTGTGTTCGCCAGAGGCATCCTGAACTGAGCTCAATCTGCTGCGGTCATTAATCTCACAGCAGAGAGAGGATCAAACACCACAAACAAACGCCGCAAAATCAACTGATATGCAAAGCAAAATGTGCACTAACTGATTAGATCAAACACAGGGAATGCTTTGAGTCTGTGTCAGTCTTTGTGTTAGTGTCTATGATCCAAATAGTGTATGTTTATTTGGAAATCCCATGTTGGCGTGGGTTTCCTCCGGGTGCACCGGTTTCCCCCACAGGTCCAAAGACATGCGGTACAGGTGAATTGGGTAAACTAAAAATTTACCGTAGTGTATGAGTGTGAATGAGTGTGTGTGGATGTTTCCCAGTGATGGGTTGCAGCTGGAAGGGCATCCACTGCTTAAACCATATGCTGAATAAGTTGGCGGTTCATTCCGCGGTGGCGACCCCTGATTGATAAGGGGACTAAACCGAAAAGAAAATGAACGAATGAATGAACTAGATTTAACTATGTCATCAGTTTTCACTGACTTAAACTAAACTAAACGTCATCAGTTTGTCGACTAAATATAGACTCAAATGTCATCAGTTTTCATCGAATAAAACTAGACGAAACTGACTTTTAGTCAACTAACACCTGACAAGACTAAAAAGAGTCTATATGTGTGTTTGTGTGTGTACCTCCAGGTGTCCGCTGAAGGCCGCGTGGTGCAGCGCTGTTCTTCCGGCTCGGTCCGACACATTGACATTACTCAGCAGTGGGAGCAGAGCCTCAGCACAACGTAAGGCCTTATGGGAAGCGGCTACGTGCAGCGGCGTCTGCCAGCTCTTATCCCGCGCGTTCACATCCGCAGAGTGTTTCAACAACACCTGAACGGCCTCCTGAAAAACACACCATCAGCAGCATTACTGACACACACTGCAGACAATTTATAATAATTATTAATATTATTATTGGTTCTTCTATTATTATTAATATTATTATAATAATTTTTTTATTTTCCTACTATTAATATTATTACAATGATTATTGTTATTATTATTACAATTATTATTAATATTATTATTATTACTATTATTATTATTGTTACTATTACTACTACTACTATTATTATTATTATTACTATAATATTATTATAATAACAATCATTACTATTATTTTTATCATTATTATTATTATTATTATTATTATTACAATTATTGTTATTACTATTATTATTGTTGTTATTATTATTTGTATTGTAACTATTATTAGTATGATTATTATTAATATTATTATTAATATTATTACTACTATTATTATTGCTACTATTACTACTACTACTACTACTACTACTATTATTATTATTATTGTTGTTGTTGTTGTTATTATTAATATTATTATTATTATTATTATTAGTCCGATTATTATTAATATTATGACTATAATATTATTATAATAACAATTATTACTACTATTATTATTATTATTATTGCAATTATAATTATTACTATTATTATTGTTATTATTATAATTATTGTTGTTTTTATTATTTGTATTATAACTATTATTAGTATAATAATAATAATAATAATAATAATAATTATTATTATTATTATTACTACTATTATTATTGTTGTTGTTGTACTATTATTATTATTATTATTACTACAATTATGATTATGATTATTATTATTATTATTACTACTATTATTATAATTAATATTGTTGTTGTACTATTATTATTATTATTGTTACTATTATTATTATTATTATTATTATTAAAATTGTTATTATAATTATTACGATTACCATTACTATTATTATTTTTACTATTACTATTATTTATTAATAATATTATAATTATTATTGTTATTGCCACTATTATTACTATTATTATTATGATTACTATTAATACAAAATAAAGTTTGCAGTTGTAATTATAAAGTCATTATCAACTATTGAAGTAACTACACAGATGCTAAAACTGAGAAAATGTCTGACGTGCAACAAAATTTTATAGAAATTGACTAAATGTGTGGTATTTTTTACCGTATTCACCTGCATTGTCTTGCATTAATGCGTCTGAAATGTTTATTTGTTAACATGTGTTGTTCAGTCAGGACAGGAAGTGTCGTACCTCACTACAGGAAGCTACGGCCCGGTGAAGAGGAGTGAGCCATTTATTGTCTTTGGCGTTGACTCTTGCCCCTGAAAGAGAACAGAAACACGTGAATGAATTACAGATATGTCACAGATGAAGCAATATAAGCAGAGCTTCCCATCAGCTTGATCAGAATACAAACCCCGGGATCACGTCTGAAGCTTAACATACACCTGTTAGTTTTAGCACCTGTTAGTTTTACTCCACCATTCATGATGACACCTCCTGCTTCACACAATGAAGGACTTCACATGGTGTTTTGTCAGTTACTGGTGTCGTGCTCAACAAATCTGAGATGTATTCATACCGGACAGAATGAGCAGCTCGATGATCTCAGCGTCCCCAAGATATGCAGCAGCGTGAAGCGGCGTCCTCTTCTCACTGTCCTGAGGAGACACAAACACAACAATTAAATATAAAACAAACCAGTTTTTTAAAACTCACTGCAGTAAGGCTGCACAATATAGCGCTTCAGCATCGATATCACAATGTTAAGTCAGGATTATAGTCAATCAACAGCTGAGAATACATGAGATTTGTGGAGTCACTGCAAGTGTAATCATAACAGAGTGAAACTTTACTATTTCAAGAAAATGTAAAGCATTCAGGCACAGTCAAGTATTTTGGTAAGACTTTATTTTGATGGTCCCTATTGCACATTTTGTTGACTACAAGTAGCATTGAACTACATGCCAAGTACTTCTCATTGGAGTATTAGTAGACTGTCTGCTGAATATCTGCTGATGCTGCTCCTTCAACAGACATTTACCTGACTATAAAAAAGTACATGTCAACTTACACTAACCCCAACTTAAATTCAACAAAATGTGTTAAAGGCACCATCTAAATAAAGTGATATCAATATTATTAACTTTAATGAAGAAAAAATGTAGTGATTTATTAGTACAATGAAGAGTGTACAGTGTTATTTTGCATTACTACATTACTGTATCTGAATACTGTTTGACTGCCTGAAGAGACTCATACAGAACTGTTAATTTTTTTGTAATTATTCTTGCATTTTAATTTTTTTATACATAATTCACACTCTTAGAAAAATCAACCCAACCACTCTAAACATGATTTGGATTCAACAAATGATTTTTCCTAAATAGAGCTATTCAAGCCATCTGGTGAAGTATTTCTCATATCGCAATATATATATATATATATATATATATATATATATATATATATATATATATATTGTAGTGTGCAATTAATTTAGCTCTTTTCAGCAATACACAGACTGTACACTCCCTTTTAATATTTTGTGGTTAGTAAACAATTTCCATTTTGAAATTGTAAATTTTTTACTATTTCTACTATTTAAAATGAACAAAATTTCTAATTAGAAAAAAATTATATATTTTTTTATATTATAAAATGTAAATATAATATTATAAAATTCTAATATGTATATATATATATATATATATATATATACACACACATACACATATATATATATATATATATATATATATATATATATATATATATATATATATATATATATATATATATATATATATATATATATATATATATATATATATATATATATATATATATTTTTATAACACACAAAAAAAAAAAAAAATATAT